ATTATATATTACTATTTCTATTCTATATTCGTACGCTCTTGCTGCAGTGAGTGATGCATTTCACTATCTTACTGCAGATTTCTGCTAAATAGTAAGATAGTGGACGTAGTAAGTATTATACGTACGTAAACCTATTAATATATATTAAAAGTTATTAGTTTATATTATAACGTTTCGAATTTCAGCGAAGTAGTTACTTCGGTAGCAGCTAACGTAATAATAATAAATTTATGAGTGACGACTTCGCTATATAAATACATTTTTGCAGATTTAAACGACACAGAGCAGAGTTTGCCTTATGGTTATCTAACCGTTAATTCTCAATCTTGCTATCCTGGGTTCCAACTTCGACTAAACAACATTGGAAGACTACACGATTTTCCATGTGCCCAATTACCGCTCCATAACGAAAAATTTTAAAGAAACGATTTTAAAGTTGAAATATTCTTCTTAATAGTCGTCAGGAAAAAGGCTCTTATCGAGTTCGTAAGCAAAAAATAACACTCTACAAAGTGAGGTGTTTATTGTATTATGCATTATAAAACAAATTTAAATAGATTACCTACTCTGTTGTAAAAGAGAAAGTACTAAAATGAAATGCTATTGTTTCGTTACGTAAGAAAGCGTAAGAACGCAAATTGTACCTTTCGAATTGAAAACAGTGTTTTTATGTAAACGTATATATATTATTACTAGCCGTTTCGCGCCCGCTTTGCTGGACGAATTAAAATAAATTTTATGTTTCATTATTTTATTTTTTTTTTATATTTTTATTATTCTTCTTTTTAACTTCCCGCTAAGAAAATTGAAATATTTCGAAAATCGAGTTTTTAACAGATGTTGACGTTTAGAGGTTCTAGGAAGCCTCCCCGAATGTTTCCGCGGTGAAGTCCGTATGGATAAATTTTCATAAAAGTAAAACAGCAATAAAAAAATGAAGGAACGTTGGAATTTAATAAATAAATAGCCATAAACCATCTAGGAAAAATTTCGCATCGAATGGTGGTAGTTTCATGTGATATGTGATATTACATTTCATTCGATACGATCAGTGGTTTAGGCGTGAAGGAGCCTCAAACGAAGACCATTTTTCTTTTATATATATAGATTACAGAACATATTGCTGTCAAGAATACAAATACGTACAATTTTGGTTAAATGTTTTTGGCTTGGTTTTGGTTTTATGTTTATGGAGCAAATTAAAATGTGCAAAAAGTATAACACAGCCCAGTAATAATTATTTATTTATACGTCATTACCTTAAACATAACAAGCGATTTCTTCCAGGCAACCCTAGTATGGAAAAAAAACACCAGCTGAGGGTAAAGTACAAGAAATGCATAAATAATTAACAAAAATACATAAAGTTACCTGAACACTAGAAATATTCTAATAGATATAAAATCTAAAATTATTATTTATGTTCTAATATCGCTTGTATGTCTTTTAATATTTCAATAATACGACGTTTTTGTTCAGATTATAAATAAATGTATGAATAAATATTCAGTTTCCAACACTTCATATATTTTATAAGAGTCTTGTCAAACAGTAAAATGGTAAACAAACATATTGTCGTTCGAGTCAGCCTCAAGTCAAGCTTAAAGGCTTTTTGTATTACAATTTCCCTTTTTATTTTATTGGTGTACAAAGAGTTTACTAGTTAATAGAAATCTGTGTAAATCGTGTTCAGTTCACAGGCAAAATATTTTTTATATTATTGTCGTGAGATAAATGGAAAAAGTGCGCAATTAGAGCGAAATTGATCATAGCCATACAAGATCTCATGGAGATTTTTCTATAGTATTTGATATTTTTTTATTAATATGTTTTTACTACCTATATATTATGTATGAGAAAAAATATAGTATAGTTAATTATTTCAAATAAAAAATATTATCTACATTAATATAAATGTAGATACTACCAATTCTCAGTTGTTTATTAAAGCTATTCAATGTTCCGAACATTATTATTGCAATAATGAGTATAATTCAGTTGTCAAAAAATATTCTTCTGCCCTTTTGAATCGGGAGAAATCAGTTCGTTGAAGAAAAGCATTTTCACCGAGGTCACGGCATTAAGCTGCGATGGCGAATTAAGATAAACCGACAAATGACAGTCGCATGTAATTATGTCGCTCGTTAGTCGTGACCAACTTGAAATTGCCATTGCATTAGAGAGCAGGGAGCTATGGTGCATCTACTATCAAAACTATATCAGAACGTTCAGCTCGCCGCCGGCGCTCAGTCTACGCGCGCCTTACCTGCGCGCTTACACGCGAACGAAAGTGAAATCGACTACAATGATAGCAATACTCGCGGCTTGCTTGTTCTATGTAGCGGTTGCTATTCCAAACGATCAAATTGAAAAGTATGAAAATAAAGTGAGAACTTACCAACTGGATGTTCCTGGAAGCAACCCTATTACGATAATTGAAACTGGGGGAGGGGACGATTTGCCGGGAAAATGGGATCCAATAGCAAAAAGTGATGATGATCTGGTTATTAAAAATCTAATGACACATGTCGTACATGATGTAGACGGAAATCGACCTCGGTGTTATGGACCTTCTTGCCAAGAAGGGTTCGTAGAGGATGAAGGTCCACAGGAGTTTGAGGAGAAGTTAAAAGAGTTTGGTGATTTTTCCAACGAACGCCTCCAGGCAATAGCCGCTTTGGCAGCTAAGCTAAAAAAACAAAAAACCAAAGCTGATAAATTCTCAAATATGAATGGCGAAGAAGCGGACAGTGATAACAATGGACAGGTATTTACTTCCTGGAATAGGTTGAAAGTGAAACAACATAAACATCCATACGACGACAAAGATGGATGGGTGACATTAGAGCCCATAGCATGGTCTTCAAGTAAAATTTCTAAATGGAAACCCAACGTCAAAAAACAGAAACCAACCTATTGGAATGATGATGAAGATACGAAATATTCATCAGACGATAATTATTCAAGTTACCAGGATTCAGAGAGTGACAGCAGTAAATATACCTATAATTATGCTCAGAAGAAACCTACTTTGAGTCGCCCCGGGTTTATAAATAATAAATTACACATACCACCCGAATATGATATGGAGGTTCCATCTAAACCTACATGGAACAAGAAAAGGCCGACAATACAGCACTCTATCGATAGCCCACAAATGACAATGCTTAATTTACAATCATCATGGTCTCCTGACGATAGTAGACATCCTAACAAACCTAATTGCGACAAAGACATTCATCAAAACGACGATAACTCTTACTATGGATCATCAGATTCAGTAATAACCGATTCTCGTCCATCTAATTTCCCTTATAACTACGAAGCTCTTCATCAATCTTCTATGCAAAGACGTCCAATGCGTCGCCCTACGCAAGTGATATATGCAGATGAGCCAGATGAAGAACGGCTTTCAAGACCTCCATATGGCGATGGACAATGGGTTCTCTTATCTACTACTAAGGGATATAGAAACAAGAAACGCCACCGAGCTCTTGATTTATCTGAAGAGAACATGGTACCAACAATAACATCTCACCAATCTGTCTCCTTGACAGTTTTGCCATCTGATGACGCTCACACAAATATGACAACTTCACACGGCGGCCTACTAGAGGTGGAGAAGAGTTTTCAAACAGTAGAAGAATCTAAGCGTGATATGGATAAAAAGTATGATTTACAGACGGAAACATCAGATGAGAGACCTGTTAAAAAGAAGGTATTAAAAAAGAAAGTTCTGACAACAAGTTCCCCAGATAGTGCGACAGTTCTAGCTGCGGTAGGCGCTGGTATGCTCCCAGCAACAATGGCTATGGTTGTTCCAATGATGTTAGGAAAGAAACGACGAAGAAGGGATATTTACGGCCCCCAATTATACCAACTACAACCAAATGAGTAGAATTTATAAGTTCCAAAATGCGTGACTGTGATTGTTAAACTGTGTGTATGTTCACAATTATTTATTATGTAGTTAAGTACTTATATTTAAGGTAAATAAAAGGAATATTATGAAAGTTAATTAACATGTTTTAATAAATAAAATAACAAAAGTAAAGCTATTTACATAATTAGCATGTAATGAATGTTACTTTCTATTTAATTGCAATAACAACGACAGAATAATGTTTTAATTGTAATTATACATAAGTGTTTCTTAGAATACATTACACATCATTGTAATTTAAGTTATGCTTACATAACCGTTTTGAAGGGTTCCTACGTCGTTAATACGTATTAATTAAGAACTTCCTCAAACAAACAGCTGAAAAAAATTCCAAAATTTCATATTGAAATTAATAAAATCTTGTATGATAAAATATAAAATATAGTATATTTTACATCATTTAATGATTGTTTTCCTTGAGAAAGTACGAAATAACGGATACATTTCACACACCTTAGATATGTTATCATGTCATTAAAATTTGAATTTAAGTGCAGCTTATATTTGTAATGGGCGGAATAAAGACAAATATGAAAAAAATACATTTACTTTTTGATAATTGCTTATGAGATTAACTCCTTAAATACAAGCTGGTCCAACGACCAACTAACGCCTTTTCCATTCCATTACTAATCATCAATCATCGGTTTAGACTTTTGTCACCACATTAAATAAGATTTTGTGTAAATCGTATACATATTTTCTTGTTATGGTTTGCTCATCATCTTCCAAATCAGGTACATCTAAGCCGGTATAAAAAAAGGCCCCGCCAGGATAAATTGCGATGGTTGTACAGCCATGGCTATCCTGTTGAGGATCATAACGCGACCCCGAGACTTTCCACTTATACTGGAGTCACAGCTAATGGATAAAACGTTATTTGCTATTCCTGAAGGATTATCTGTTCCTTAGACCATAGAGTTGTTTATGAGATTCAATGTTTGTAAAAGTATTGTGTCATTATATTATACTTTCATTTTACAGTGTATAAATATTTTGTGAAACTGCGTTTTATTTTTCGATATTTTTATGGGTTTCAGGTTGGATTTAATCTATTTCATGTATTATATTTGTAGAGTGCTTCTCCAGGACGAGTGTAGATATTTCCGGTTCTAATTGCTTCCATTAGATACTTGACGCTGAATAGACAAGTTATCAGGAGCACTGAAATAAAAAAATACATTATTATTGTTTAATATACTGGCGTTTCGGTCTTTTTTTATCTCTATTTAAACACCATGTACCTATAGATATAGACCATAGACCTATAGACGGTAATTATAATGCCCCTCCGTGGTATTCATGGCGTATAACCCAAACGTCCCGGATACATTATATGCAAGATTAGAAGATTTGATCACAATTTTTTTTACGAGCCTATGATGTCGTGAACTTATAGACGGCGGTCAGCGCTTGAATTGAATTGAAAATTGTAGGGTCATATATCTATGTCTGTTTTACTTATAAGTTTTCTTTAACAGGACTTCAATTCTGGTCTTATACAAGGAATTGCGGGCCAAGAGTAGGACAAGACTGAAATATGAATTCACAACCTCAGAGTTGACACTGCCGCCTTATTTTTTATGGACTATTGGAAATACTAGAATTTTTGTGAAACAAATCGTTTGTCATCCTAATTAATCCGACGAGTTCGACTAACGCCCGCGCGATTGGGCCGCCGCGCCGGTACCAGCGCTCTGACCATAATTTTTATTTTTCATTGTGTAATAAGATCCCTGAAGAACCGCCATACTGGTACAAATGACCCACTATTTTGTGTCACTATCTCCCGGTCTAATAGGCTAACATTTATCTAAAATCGTACCGTAGCTCGAGAGAATAACCTGATCACCGATAAAATATACAAACCATCAGATGCAAATATAAGTCCTAGCTGTATCCAGCCTGCGGTAATGGCTTCCCAAACTATTAATCCAATTGTGAAGAATATGTGGAAGAAACTGTAGATGAAGAAAGTTGTTATACAGCACTCGTTTACCTGAAACATTGAAGTGTCAAAATTAAACACAGATAGCTAACTTCGATTTTGTTTGGAGTAGAGACTCTTGGGCCGTGGAGTTCAAGTGCACAGGCGCTTATTAAAGATTTAAGTTGGCGCCTGGTAGATAGTACGGTTACCCCAGAGCTGGTGCTTTCCTCGCTCAACGAACAAGTATCGCAATATAGCGAGGAAATGCTGCCAGCGTTAAAGGTACACTGCCACAGGGACCAAAGTTTTTAAATTTGTTTTTATTTTCTTTTATTATTTTTATTATTACTATGTAGGTTAAGAAAATTATAAATACTGTATATTTGATTGTTATGATTACTAATAAATACAGATTAAATTACAAAGAATTTCGTTTAGAATTGCTTAGAAATTTGCAACCTAATATAATAAGACGGAAATCAATTCTCGGACCCTCTTAATATATGCAATGTGGGTGGACAATGGAAAATTTAAATAAAAAAACATTTATTTTTACTTAAACTCTTTTTCATGATTGCAGTTCAAACAGCAATGTTAGTCTAGTTGATTATGCGTACATTTTCTTTATTTGTGCGCAATTAGCATTTACTATTGTGAAGGTAAACATCGTGAGGGAACCGGAATGTCTCAAAACCCAAAATCGATGACATATATGTTAGACAGAAGGTCAATTACTCATCTTTAAGACATAGATGATCGAAGAAACGGATGCAAACCCATAAAGGGACGCTCTCTGTATATATATTTAATGGTTTGTAAACTTTTAATTGGCCTTTCGATTCCAAAACAATTTTGTAAGATTTTTCTAAATACTTATTATACTCAAAAATGTTTCTGTTTCGATCTGGGTTGAAGTTTTCGACCTGGACCTGATAAGTCCGTGTTTTTAATTTCATAAAGACACAGTTTACGTAAAGTGTCAATTAAGCTTATCTGAATACAATATATTAATTATATATTCCTGTCTCTACAATATGATAGGTATTAGAGTTATCCCATAAAAGATACAGAAATTATGTACTATCAACTGAGCACGAGGTACCCTTCGGTCGTTCACCCTATGCAGTTATGATCAACCTATTGGTTATTTGTAGTCTAATAAAAAAAAGCCTTGCCATATTACGGAAAATTATTGGAACTAATTTCTTCAAATGGCAATAATCTTTTACTTTTAAGGAAGTTTATTCCACAATACTATAAGAATAAACGCATTGCTCTTGTAAATTAAACTTTATTTCTACTTTATTGTATTGAAATATTGTTACACTAGCCAATTTGAATGTGTATCACTCAGTGTTGCTATAATCATCGTTAATTTAGCGCCTCCAGAGTAGGTTTTTTTATTTATTTGGTCGGACTTTCGAAGCTGGTCTCTCCTAAAACGCATTCCATGGCCTAGTAGCCTCATTTGTTATCCATACCCAACTAGACAGTTGGGTATGGGAATATAAAATAAGAGACGCTACGTCTTTCCATTTGACCAATCACAGTCGAAAAAACGTTCTATCGTCATTCTCCCGAAAAGTTTGATAATCACGTGGCCTATAATCAATTTATAAATAAAACTAAAAATAATTGTTACATTGACTACATTGGTATATCCTTTTAAATCAAATAAATTATATTTATTTTAACATATAATATAAGGATGCATGTACAACGATTTAATAATATAATGGTGTAGATAAAATAATGGGTTGGCCAGCCCTGATTGATAATAGTGTAGGTTTGAAACACCTTGTAGTCAGACATCAGCAAAAACGACTATACGATAATAATTACAGTATTTGTTTTTGTAAAAGATGAAAGCATAAGATAACATTAAATTATAAGTATATATATTTTTATATATATCTCAACAACAAACATTATTTTTGGACTCGATCTTCAAATGTTTTAATATTTTTAAAAGCACGGATCTCGTTTTTTTTAAAGATTACAAACGGAGGATAAATTCATAAATTGTTAACATAGGCGATTGTAACAAGTATTTCATATTACCTTGTAAGCTCCAACAGTAAATATAAGTCCGAACATAAATAATAATAGTCCAATTATGATATATGTTAAGTAATATATCATTATGACAATAGTGACTAAGTCCTTTTTGTCTTCGCCAAATATACTTTCGAGTTTTTCGAAATTGTTGAATTTTTCTTCGTGAGTATCATCTTTGGAAATAATGTTCAACGCAAGGAGATATAAATGGAAGGCTGCTACCGCTAAACTTATAATCTGAAAGACAAAATATGCTTATTTAAAACTCCACACTTAGCGCTAAATATAACTCCCGTATGTCAACAACACACACACACACACACACACACCACAATTCCACAGTCCGTTTCACAAGGCACTTTATTTTGCAAACTCGCGAACTGTGGAATCTATTCAATCAAAATCTCCAACTATTCAAAGTTAGTGTGTCTGGTAAGGCCGGCAACGTACCCACTAATATGGGGGTACGTTGCCGGCCTTATGGGTGTCCATGGGCTGCAATGACTGCTTTTTACTTTTTTAATTTTTTTCTTCGACAATAAAAAACGTGGCATTTTAATTTACAACTCGTCATTTGAGATTTCAATAAATTATTTTGCATAAAATATAAAATACTAATTCATAAATTCTCTTTAGGAAATTTTAACTTTAAAAATAGAATTTCTATAAGGTAACCTTCTCACTCTCTCTCAATGGCTCTGTCCCTTCTTCGACAAAAACGCTGCACATTTTTGTGACATTAATCCCTAAGATATCTAGATATCTATATCTATCTAAGCTTTCCTTTAGTTTATTGTCATTTGTCATTAAAACATGTCAATCACATGAAAAACATATTAAAAGCATAAAAGGCATATCGTATGGTAGATGTACTAAATCATTCCCAGATGTATTAGAAACGGGTCCGCTGCTACTATTTCTCGTAGGCAGGAAATATGTTTGTGCGACCGTAATCAGTACTGATTTCTGATTAGTGTCATGCTGGCTTCGTGCGGGGATGAGGTTAAACTTTTTCTTGAGTGTTGTCATGTTGTCTATGATTGTAAATTTTGATGGCTGTTCAAAACTTGTTTAAATTGTCGAATACAATACACAAACTCAGGAATCTTTTTTGAACTCCCTTTGAATCTCCCTTACACTCAGATTATAAATACGTCAAAAATTTATTACAGTTTGAAATACAAAAGTCAGTTATACGCCACAATCTGTGGGCTTTAAATTAAACGTAAATTAAATATTAGTTTACAATCTGACCACGACAGGTATAAAATGAAACGCCTGCAAATAAAATAATAGCAATTGTTTACACGCTCTTTTAATCAAAATATACTTACAACCACAATATAACCAAATACGATGTTTCCAAGCCGCAGGGGAAAACAAAATAGAAATTTTCTCGTCATTTTCGCTTCAGGATATTTCTGAAAATAAAGGATAAGGTTAATAAGTACATTAATATTAATTTAACGTATTTATAATCGACATTGATAAATTATTATTTTAGGAGAGAATTATTGTCTTTTACGAGTACAAGAGAAGTCGCTCTGGGATTGAGAAATTTCAGTTCATATTTTGAAACAGGTATCTTTGCAAAACCCTATGAGATTTTTTCGCATCTGAGCTGAACAATATAATTGAAGCCTCAATCACTGCTTGTACTATCAAGCTAGGCAAAGTGGCTGATTGAGCAAAAAAAATTACACGCCGAAGCTCAGTTTTTAATAATAGCCGCTATGGTAACACACTAGCCGTAAATCAACAATTCTTAAGTCGTTATTTTGACCCTGAAATATGTCACTATGCGCCCTATTCGGGAATGGCAAAAACCCATACATCGAGTATTTTTAATATCAGTAAAAAACTTACATGTCATGTTTAATTACGTCACTTGATCGATTAATAAAAACATGAACACGAGTGCTTTGACCGGTAGCCACATACTTTGTGCTATTTTTGGCTAATTGGTGTATCTATTAAAGTTGTAAAATTATCGGCACTTAACATCGTACGATGTCGTAATGGTGTCTGGAAAAGCATTCACCATTCTGTATTTGTTTTCTGTGGTCATAATAAATAAGCAAGTAAGTAGTATTTGCCTTCAAAATAAGTTTATGATCCTGGTTACAGTATTACGCAAGGGCGTCAATAGTATACGTACAGTTATAAAGAGAATTTTTCATAATACTATTTAATTTAAAAATTGTTAATATTATCTTAAAAACAAAAGCTGAATTAAATGTTAAATAAATAAATAATACATTAATAGACAAAATCATAAAAAAATTAACAATTGTAAATATTTATTTATGCGTGTTTGAATGTAACAATATAGAACAGGGTCTAACGGCTTACTAGACAATAATAATTTGTATAGTTTAGTCTAGACCAGTGATTACCAAAGTGGTCTTTATCGACCCCTAGGGGTCTATGACAACTTGCAAGGGGTCTACGTCAGCGAAAAAAAATTTGGGGGTCCATGAAATGAAAATGGGGGTCCACGGTAGTGGATCTCAACACACACTCTGATTGTACCTATTTACTTACATCATACTATCTCATAATATCAAAACATATACATTATTTATAAAAGTACCTACATATCAGATAAAAAAAAATATTTTGAGTAGTTTTAATTTAAATTCATTTAATAAATGTATAAATTAACATGTGTTTTTACTTTAAGTTTTTAACACTAAACTTCACTACTGTTAGAAATTTACAGGAAATCAATATCAGGTACGTAGGGGGTCTACCCAACACGGAAAAACATGGCAAGGGGTCTACGACACAAAAAAGTTTGGGGAACTCTGGTCTAGACACACACATAAAATGTTGCATGTGTGTTTGGCGCCAACACAATTTATTAATATCATGAAATCATATTTGCGTTCGGACAATCGAATAGTTGTTATCTCTATAACAACCTATGTCCGAATGAAAATAATAAATATGTCTATAATGTTGGAAAAATTGTTTCTTAATTAAATAATTAAATGATGTCTTAATTGTTAGATATTTGGATTTCTTAAAATTTTGTAATATTATCATTTGTAATCATATCATTTGCGTCAAATATATGTGTTACGAATATAAATTTACTGTAAAATGTGTTTCATTTTAAGGAAATTTTGCGGTTTAAGCGTGGAAGTGAAACAGAAAACTTTCTAATATAAATTAAAATTGCAGTGAGCCTTCGAAGCGTAAGAAAGTATTGTTATTGGGTATGTTAATTTATTTGAGAAATATTTGAAATTTCATTTTCATTGACCAATTTTAAGGTAAAAAATGTCTTCTAAAGTGTATCAAACGCGAAAAAGCAATTATTTTTGATAATGCTTCGAAGGGAATCGAATCAGTGCGAATAGATGGCGTGAGGTACGTGTTCACTGCCGTTAGTCACGCAGGCACTCTGCGAACAATGGCTAAAGTTTTCATACAATAAGCAGTGTGAGTGTTATTCTTGTATGTAAATTAGATACTATATGTAAAGTATATCCTTTTCCTTCCTTGACATGTGTCAAGGAAGTTTGAAACGTAAAAAAAACTATTATTTTTATTTACGTAAATCGTATCGTACGTATTAAATAAAGTGCAACAGGGCGAAAACGTAGGGTCACTGTGTGATGGTTGAAAGGATCTCTACGGTTCAGTGGATCACATAGACAGGGAAAGGTAGAGGTAGGCAGCAGGTCAGGGACGTCTGAAAAAAAGGTCTTATATGCTGTAAGGACCTTTGTACTGGCAATTAATGTTTTTTTATTGTTGTATCTAGAAAATACACTAAAAGGCACAATAGTCCTAGGGGCCGTTCAAGTATTACGTAAGCAATGTTGGGGGCAGGGGGATCTTTGATTTTCTTATTTTGTGACTACGCCAACAGTAATTATTTACTTTTTTACACATATTACATTGTCTATGCTTGAAAGCGAGCATTTTCGAGGATTCCTACAAAAAATGAATACGTTTATGTACGTATTTTGAGAGCTTTGCTTACTTTTGCTTTAGGGGGAGGGGGGGATAAATTGCAGTATATCTGCTTACGTAGTACTAGAACGGCCCCCTATGAAAAAAACATTCTTCAATAAATTACTAGAAAAGATCGGTTTTAATCCATAACCGACCATTGCAATCCAATCCGCCTTTAAATTCATTATTTTTTTGTAATTATAACCATGCTCATCGGTTAACTTTACACATATCAAGGAAGGTGAGAATGTAAAACAAAAGACGAATGACGTATTTCGTTTGATAAGTCATACGGAGAGAGATCGGGTCGTGTGTCTTTATTAGACTAGAGTTTTGACGTTATACGACATCGTGAACCACTACTACTGCCTATATAGTAAGCTTAAATGGCGACACAAGATAGGCGTATCATACAAGAGGGATACATAAACTGATTATCTCTAAACATAGAACAGCGTCTTTTCACGGCAATTTTCGATACAATGCAACTAAATGCTGGAACAACCTGCCACCTCCACATTCGACACATACAAGGGATACGTCTTTCAAAATAAAATGTAAAGTCATGTTTTATGTTTGTTAAGGTAATTTAATTTTTATTCTGTTTTTAAATAATTTTTATTTTAATTGTTAATATTTTGTTTATTGGAGTGAACATGAGTATTGGTCCACTGAAAATCAGTATTGCTGGTGACAGCAACTTAAAGCTGAGTCGGGCCCAATTTTTAGTAGAGTGATCGTGTTTATATTTCTTTTGTGCTTTCAAATAAACGGGTTTCTCTTTCTTACATTTATTTTAGAAAGAAAGGAATGTTTATGAAGCAAAAATGGGCCTAACTTTAGCTTTAAGTTGCTGTGACCATTATAAGTTTTTTAATACATCTTAAATTGTGATCTACTAGGAGACAATAAACTGAACGGATGTTAGATATTAGAGAATGATCCTCAATGGAGTTATTTGTCAATAGAACTTTATATTCTAGTATTACTCAGTCATTACTGAGCTCGGTGAAGAGTCTTAAATAAATCTTTTGAGTACTTTGAGAGTTTGTGATAAGAATTGTTGACACGTTTCGCGAATGTTTTGAACAAAGTCGGAATTTGTAAAATGTTTTGAACTCTGAAAGTGAACTTAAAAGAGATTATGGAATTATTGTTATATGACAGAATGATAAGTATTAAGAAGATTTTGAAATGTATTTGACGCGCAACAGAGAAAATAACATATCACAAATAACAAAACTGACAACGGTTGTTTAGACAGATTATGTAAGTAAATAGGCTGCATTAAAACCAAAATTTATTACTTGGAATTCAAAACCAGATTACTATTACTATTTGTTATTATATATATATAAATAATAACAAATCATTGACATTCTGTTCGAGTATTTAAATAGAAATAATATCGTTCGATTGACTTTAGTTATGACGGGGTCAAAGGCCTTAAGAGCATCTCAAGCGCATCGAAGCGTAATAGCCTAAGAGTTGCTTTTTTTAGTTTTATTTTACAATTTTCAAAAAATACTTTGGAAATTAAAAGTGTATCAGTTAAAGTTGTTTAGTGGATCTTCTTTTTTTTTTTTTTTTTTTTTTAAACTCTTCATCTATCTGCAATCAGCCTCTTGGCTTTTATCAGATTTTATGGGAAATGATGGCAATTAGGGAACGCAAATCCAACAATTTTTATTCCCTCCGTAATTTGTAAACTGTCAGACTGCGGCAAGTTTCGCCCTTTTTTAGCCGATACACACTGTCCATCGTTTCCAAGAGGCCCGAAGCTAGGGGGTTGACGTGTTGCTGAAGTCTCATTTTGTATCGCACGGTTGATCTTTTAATGTCTTCCTCGACAGTGGCAATTCCCAAATATTTATGGACTTCAGTATTTCGTGTTAACCACAGCGCACCGCTCATATTTCGCAGTGTTTTGCTTTGTAGCCGCTGCAGGATTTCGATATTAGAGCGGCTTGCTGACCCCCAGAGCTGTATCCCATAGAACCATATTGGTTTAATTACAGTTTTATAGATGAGGAGTTTATTGTCCAAACTGAGTGCCGCATTTCTACCTAATAGCCAGTTCATGCTACGAAGCCTACCAATAGCATGCTCCTTCTTGGCTTTTATATGGTCTTGCCAAGTCAGGCGTCTGTCCAGGTGCATGCCCAAATATTTCGCTGTAGTCCGTTTTGGCAAAACAGCTCCCTCCAGAGTCACCGGTGAGCACTCTTCTCTTCTTAGTGTGAACGTAACATGAACTGATTTCGCTGGGCTTGCCCGTATCCTCCACTTCTTTAACCGTAATCCTATTTTGTCCAGGCATTTTTGTAGTTTTGCGTATGCTTCGTTAGGATTTTTATTGCAGGAAAGGATTGCAGTGTCATCTGCATAGGTTGCAATGACAACATCGTCCGTAACTGGTATGTCGGCTGTAAAGATT